CCAGTCTGGGCGACCCAGTGAGACTCCAACTCAAAAAAAAAAAAAAAAACCCAATGAAAACAACATGAAAATGTTTTGTTTCTGTGTTTGTTTTGCTTTTGTGTTTTGTTTGTTTAATATAATGAAACATATTTCAAATCTTCTGTAACTATTGTAGAGTTATATATATTTTTGGTAATTTTGTTAAAAATATTTTATTCCTACATGGACTGAACTACATGAAATTGTCAATACTTGATCATTTTTTAATCTAAAAAATGGCAATTTTCTTTTTTAATTCTAATTTTTATTATTTTATTTCATTTTATTTTAGAGATATGGAGTACAAGTGAGTGTTTACTGCATGAGTAGGCTGCATGCAGGTGAAGTTTGGGCTTCTAACTTTGGGCCCTTACTCTCCCTGTAGTAGACCAGGTACCCTCCTTTGTCACGAACCCCCCACTTTCTTCCCTTCCTTCCTCCCCTAGCCAATGCCCAGTGACTGCTGATCTCTCACTTGTGCTAATGTGATTAGTGATCAGGGCCCACGTATGAGAGAGAACATGTAGTATTCAGTTCTTTGTTTCTGTGATAATTCCTTTAGTATGATGGTCTCCATTTCCATCCAACTTGCTGCAAAGTCCATGATTTTGTTCTTTATGACTGCATAATATTCCATCATGTATATGTACCACATTTTCTTTATTCAGTCCACTTTCAATGGGCAGCAGGGTTGGTTCCATGGTTTTGCTATTGTGAATAGTGTGGCAGTAAGCATATGTATGCAGGTGTCTCTTTTGTAGTGTGGTTTATGTTCCTCCGAGTATATTCCCAAGAGAGGGATTGCTGGGTCATTTGGGAGAGTTGAGGTGGAAGGACTGCCTGAGCCCAGCAGGTCGAGGCTGCAGTGGCTGTTGAGCATGCCACTGCACTCCAGCCGGGGCAACAGAGTGAGACTCCAACTCAAAAAAAAAGAAACTTTAGTTCTTTTAGGAACGGCCACGCTATTTTCCATACAGGTTAAACTAGCTGGCTTTCTAATTTTTTTGTAGAGATGAGGTCTCGCTATGTTGCCCAGGCTGGTCTTGAACTCCTGGGCTCAAACATTTCTCCAACATTGGCCTCCCAGAGTGCTGGGATTACAGGCATAAACCACTGCATCCAGCCAAAAACAGTATAAGAGTTTGAGGTTTTTTTGAGTTGGAGTCTCAGTCCATCACCCAGGTTGGAGTGCAGTGGCATGCATGCTCACGGCCACCCCAGCGTCCACCTGCTGGGCTCTGGTGATCCTTCCGCCTCAGCCTTCCAAGTAGCCAGAACTGTAGGTGCGCGCTACCATGCCCAGCTAATTTTTTGATTTAAGGTAGAGATGAGGTCTCACCAAGTTGTCCAGGCTATTCTCTAACCCGTGGGCTCAGGCAATCCCCTCACCTCCGCCTCCCAAAGTGCTGGGTTTACAGGCTTCAGTCACCATGCCTGGCCTATAAAAATTTTTAATAGTTGAGTAACAACTTTGTGACAGTTGGGCCTATACAGTTAATCTTCATTAGTTTAGAAGTTGGTTTTTCACATCATAAATCCACAAGATGTAACTATCATTAGAAATAAGAAAATAGGAGGTTAGATTTAGAAAAGTGTTTAACCGGGTACAGTGGCTCACACTTGTAATCTCAGCACCTTGGGAGGCGGAGACAAGAGGATTGCCTGAGCCCAGGGATTTGAGACCAGCCTGGGCAACTTGACGAGACCTCGTCTCTATGATAAATCAAAAAATTAGCCAGGCATAATGACATGTGCCTGTAGTTCCAGCTACTTGGAAGGCTGAGATGGAAGAATCGCCTGAGCCCAGCAGATCGACACTGGGGTGGCTGTGAGTGTGCCCCTGCACTCTAGCCTGGGCAACAGAGTGAGACTCAAAAAAAAAAAAAAAGTGAGACACATATTTTGTATTACTACTCTTATTTGTTAGAAAAAGAGAAAGCGTTCCTTCCTTTCTGTTTTAATTTCTTCAAATGAAAGTGTATGTTACAAACTCCAAGTAAGGAAAAGGGTGGGGTAGTCATAAAAGACAAAGGAGGATTTTGAACTCAAGGGGATAAGATTAGCATAAGGGAGAGAGTGAGTTTCAGGCAGAGACTATGGGTGTAAGGAATACATATATCACAGAGACAGGTAAACCCAACTAGATCCAAAGGTTCAAGTTGAGGAGTGGCAGAAAATAAGTCTTAGAGAGGTTGGCTCATGCCTTGAATGCCAAACAGATGTTCTAGGAACATTAGTCTTCAAAATTCTCCTTGGGGGAGTGGGGAAGTGGGAAGGGAAACGAAAGACTCATAAGCAAATAAGTTTGGAAAACAAAACGCAGTTATACTCTCTTCCCTTTGGAGGATAACTCTGCAATAGCATATTAAATGCTCTGAGAGGTCTTACATAGGAAGCCTGTTTAGTTTTGTGAATTCTTCACCTCTCTGCCTAGCATAACCATAGAATGCCTTCCCCACACCCCCTTAATACATATCTATTAACATTCTTCAGCGTTAGTTTTTTTTTTTTTTTTTTTTGACTTGGAGTCTCACTCCATTGCCGAGGCTGGAGTGCAGTGGCACACTCCCGGCCACCGCAGCCTCAATCTGCTGGGCTCTGACAGTCCTTCTGCCTCAGCCTTCCAAGTAGCTGGAACTACAGGCGGCGCTACCACGCCCGGCTAGTTTTTTGATTTATTGTATAGATGAGGTCTCACCAAGTTGCCCAGGTGGGTCTCAAACTCTGGCAATCCACTCACCTCAGCCTCCCAAAGGCACGGGATTATAGGCTGAGCCACTGAGCCCGGCTAATTTTTTATTTATTGTAGAGATGAAGTCTCGCCAAGTTGCCCAGGCGGGTTGTGAACCCGCCGGCTCAGGCAATTCACTCACAGAATTCATTTTTTATGGAACATACTTTAGGCAATAATATATAGACCCCAAGAGAACAATTCTTGTATCGCATTCATGAATCTTAGACATTTTACAATTGCTGGTTTATGATTAATAGAGAATTTGGATTTCTTTCTAGTTCTCTTTTGATAGTTGTAACTTTAAGGTCCAAAAGTGCAAAGAAGGAACGGGACGAGTTGTGATGTGGCGGATGGGAATCCTCAATAGCTACACCATGGAGTCTACCTTTGGCGGGTCCACCCTGGGTGAGCTTTCTTTTTATATCATGAGCCAGCATGGCAAGGGAAAGCCAAGTAAAGCTCCTGAGGAGAGGAAATGCCTTTGGGTGTTGAGGGATAACCGATCTAGAGGGTTTCCTTGTCTAGCTTTAGGCCACATTTGAGTATCCAAAATATGAATGTAGCCAGGCATGGTGGCTCACACCTATAATCCCAGCACTTTGGGAGGCCGAGGTAAGAGCATTGCCTGAGTCCACGGGTTCAAGACCAGTCTAGGCAACTTAGGAGAACCTCTTCTCTACAGTAAATCAAAAAATTAGCTGGGTATGATAGCACATGCCTGTAGTTCCAGCTACTTGGAAGGCTGAGGGGAAGGATCACCTGAGCCCAGCAGGTCGAGGCTGTGGTGGCTGTGAGCACACCACTGCACTCCAGCCTGGGTGACAGAGTAAGACTCCAATTCAAAAAAAAAAACCAAAAAACAAATATGAATGTGAACCTTGACGGGGCATTGTAGCACAGTGGTTGCTGAAGACCTGGAATCAGGTAGAAAACGGGTTTGAATTTCAGTTCCATTATAAGTTGTGTGATCCTGAATAAATTACTTAACCCCTTTGAACCTTGTTTTCCTTTAACTGACAATAATAATAGTGCCTGCTTAATTAATTAATTAATTTTTGAGTCGGAGTCTCAGGCTGGAGCGCAGAGTTACACTCATGGCTACTGCAGCCTCGACCTGCTGGCCTCAGGTGATCCTTCCATGTCAGCCTTCCCAATACCTGGAACCACAGGTGCGTGCCACCATGCCTGGCTAACTTTTTTGATTTATTGTAGAGATGAGGTCTCACCAAGTTGCCCAGGCTGGTCTCTAACCTCTGAGTTCAGACAATCTTCTCGTCTCCACCTCTGCCTCCCAAAGTGCTGGGATTACAGGCATGAGCCACTAAGCCCAGCCAGTACCTGCATTATATAATAGGTGTTACTTAATGAGGTAGTGCATGCAAAGCACTTACCATAGTACTTACCACAATGTGAAAGCTTAGTAATTATAGTTATCATGATTATAAATTTTTTCTTTGTCAAAGATTCTTCTGAACCAAAGTAAAACAGAGCTACTCTGTCTAAAAGCATAAGATTCTAGAATAAGAGTTACTATTTTTTTTTTGAGTTCGAGTCTCACTCTGTCACCCAGACTGGAGTGCAGTGGCCGCTC